GCACAAAATCATTTTATCTCTCATCAAAGAGGGCAGAAAACATGCATTATTGTACTCAGGGGTGGAGTTTGACAAAGGATTACTCAAAAGGTACACAGTAAAAGTACTTGATTGTACTTTTGGTAGTAGTCCAAGTAGTACTGAGTTCAACAGTATCAATTTCACTAAGAACTTATTGCAAAAAATCCTTTTATCTCTCATCAAAGAGGGCAGAAAACATGCATTATTGTACTCTGGAGGGGAGTTTGACAGGGGATTACTCAAAAGTACACAGTAAAAGTACTTGATTGTACTTGTGGTAGTAGTCTAACAAGTAGTGAGTCCAACAGTATCACTTTTATTAAGGATGTATCGCTAAAAAATCATTTTATCTCATCAAATATAGCAGAAGTTGCATGATTTTGTTCTCAGGAGGGGAATTTGCGAGTATTACCCAGAAAAAAGACAGTAAAAGTACTTCATTTTATTGTACTGAGTCAAACAGTGTTTTTTTTTTTAAGAACTCATGGTAAAAATCATTTGTATCGCATGAAGCAGAAAAAACATGCATTCTTTTACTCTTGCGTTAGTGCCGCTTCTCAGCGATTACCGTAAAGGCGCTATAAATCGCGCACTCAAAAAATGAAGAACTGCTCATTTGACCAAGCAAATTTGAGAGACGGCTGAGTTGACCGCAGTGGTCTGGGTAGAGTTCTTCAGAAGTGACGTGGCAACTCTACCGTGCAGTCAGATCGTGGCTGCTGTGACTTGTGATGTGAATTCTCCGGCCGAAGCTCCAAATAAACCATCAGTCGGTGACTCCCACTGCATTGCTACACAGAAGTTTCCCTTACAATGATCCAAAACAAGAGCATACTTGGCACACATAGCCGCGGGAAGTAGGGGTGCTGGGGGTGCTGCAGCACCCCCTGTTGGCGAGTGGTGTACATTTGAAAAACTGAGTGACCACCTAAATAAAAATGATTAAACTACATAAAATAGTTATGATTTTACTTAAAATAAAATTAGCTGTATACAGTAGCATATAATAGTCATAGTATATATTTGTATATATCAGGTGGCTTGAATTTATTTTCCAAATAAATAAAATCCGAGTCATCTAGGTCATAGGTCGTGGGAGAGTGACGTAATTGACGCGACACACACACTGCAGAGTGACAACTTTATAGAATGGCGCAAAAAAGGATTTTGGATTTTTTTCTCCAACAAACAACCCAATAAAAAGAGTGGACCACCAGCTACTCCTCAGCCCACCACCTCTACAACTAGAGTAATATGACACAGAAGAGACTGACACATCTGACTTTAATGCATGTCCATAGTAACATTTTGGACAATGTGGATGTATCTGCTCTAATGAGGGTCTTCATTAGTGCCACCCCAGGCTACATTTGGAGTTTTGTGAAGCCCCAACACAAGGTAAGACGATATTTTTCCTTTAATGCTGCTGCCGCTGTGCAGTGTTTTGCCTTGTCAATCAGTTAAAATTGAATTCATAGTTTTATTAATATTGTAAATAATATTTTCTGACTATTTGTAATGTTATGTAGGTTTGTAAGACCCATAGTTAGCATGTGGGCATGTGCAGCTGTTGCTAAGGTCTATAATGGTTTATTAAAGTTAAGGCGAGACACCCCAGGTGAATAGGGTAATTTCTCCAGTTAATTACCTACAATAAGGCAATTGTTTCTTATATTACAAGTTTTCTGAATATGCAAATTAGTCATTATCTCATTAAATTTGCGCATATTTTAACACATTTGAGGAACCGAAATCTGAACTTTGGATAAAGCCAGGTTCAAAATTATCGTTTCATTTTGTAGTCATATTAGCATCTAAGATTTTCACAGAAGGGATTTTGGATATCTCTTTTTATCACTCCATAAATCAGAAAATACTGTCAACAGCCCTAAAATATCAATTTTCGCCATGTTTCTAGGTATAACATCTTATATAATTCAGGCTATGAATGATCTATGAACAAACCCTTCTGTAAAAGCCTTCATAATATTGATAGGAATATAACTGGAAGTTTTGGTGTCTCTACGTGCAACTGAAGTGGACATTTCGAACTCAGAGTAGGAGAAAAAACTCATTTTGAGAAAAGGACCTTTAAAGATTGCAGTGAGGCGCTAGCTAAACCCTCCTGTTCTTTGGATGACAGCTTGCTTATCGAAGCACTCCGTGAAGGTATTTCATGTTCGGGGTCATTTGTGTTTTGTATAACCTTGCTTCGTGCAAGTGACAATTGTTGTTGTCTTCTCTGTGAACGTTTTTTTCGCCGTTCCTTTGCCATTTTGAGATTTACATTTCTAGCGGAAAGCTAACCAGGAAGTGTTTTAGCACATCACGTGACGCATCTGAACGAATCACGTTGTCAGAAGTTGACACCAGCCAATGAGATTTCGTTTCTTGGTTTAAGACCCTTTTGTACTTTCACGATTGGTTGCTGATACAAAGGAAATGACCATATTTGGATCTGATGAGATTGTGCAGGAGAGACTCAGCTTTCCAACGATGACATGGTGCAAACAGCGGTCGCGGTACTTTATGTTACGTTAGAATGCTAACTTTTGGTGAATTTAGGAGAAATATACAGACGCAAATAGACCAACTATAGTAAAATGAACACTTAAATGTGTATTTTGTACGTTTTACTTCCAAAAGCCTGAAAGAAAACATGTTATGGAATCAAAATAGTACAACATCTCAAAATTGACCAGTGCATGAAAAACGATGTTTTTGCCTGCCGTGTCTCGCCTTTAACAAACAATGTATGCGGCTCGTATCGCTGACAGCTGGGCCCGGCTGGGCCTTTTTTTTTTAAGCCTCTCCCTCCTCACTTTTGGCAGCACCCCCTGAGCAAAATGACTTCCCGCGGCTATGTTGGCACATATCATATTTACACCTAGATTATGAAGATGTTGACTGGAAGGAATTACTTGACGAACCGCCAACAAAAATACCCACGCACCTCCCTCACTGTCTGATACGTCATAACTCGGCAAGGACCAATAAACTGTTCAGGATTTGTTTCTGAATGCAGTTGCACTATAAATGATCGTATCCACTCCAAATGTAGATATTAGGAGAGTAGCTGCACACATGCTGAGGCTTCATTTGCTGTAATGCACACTTGAACGGCAAGTATCATTTTTTGAATTCCAAAAAAAAAATGCTCCATGTTTTTAGGCTGTAAACTTTAACTGTTATGTAAGCCAACTAGACAGACAGTTTATCACTCTTCCTCCTGTACATTAGCAGATAAAAGGCATCACATACTTGAATGAATGGTAAATAAAGAATGCTGGAAATAACTGCATCTCCATTTAGGCCGCAAGGTGAACCTCGAAAAAGTCCTTTAGAAAAGAAATCCCGCTCCACAGAAGTGAAACTACACAATCTTTAGTTCATAAAAAAGAACGATTCATGCTTATCCACCAAAAAAAATTTCGTCGCTAAAATTCCTCTAGTTTCTTCAAGTTTTGTTTTTTTCCCCTCTAGCTTGCGCCGGACTGAAACTGTCTTTTCACTGACATCTCTCCACCTGCACTAGTGGCCGTATCAAAGCCGTGATTGGTCAGATGTCGATTCATTGCAACGGTGTCGGGTTACAGACGTGCTCCCCTTATGGGCATAGATATGTCTCATAATTATTTGTGTGAACATAAAAATAATTTGTGTGTAAATATGTGATTTGTAAATGTAAAACAACATCCACAAATGCATTTAAAAGATTTGCAAATACATTTGCAAGTGTAAAACGGATCTGCAAATACGCTAAATATGTTCACAAATAAAAAAAAGATCTGTGAATATCTCTTTAACATTTACACCTTTCGATCAGGCATTTGTGAATCCATTTTGTATTTGTGGACCAAAAATGCGCTTGCGGATCTCAAATCTCTGTTCACGGATCTCAAATCTCTGTTCGCGGATCGTCTTTTTACACACACGGAATTTTGAGACATATTTTCCGCCGGTCTCGGCTAAAATCTACTCGTGTCACTCGGTTATTTTCGGAAACCACGTGATGGCCTGCTGTTGACGACATTTCTGCATGATTTCAAAGTAAGAGCATGATGGTTTGTTTAATGCTCTGTTTTTGTATTATAATGAACAGCGGAACGTTAGATGCATTCTTTATCACCATTACCCTGACCTAAATACGGTGCTTTTCTACAGATTACTTTATTACTGCACTGGTAAGGTACAATTAGGCCGATTAATAAGATGTGAAGTGCTTTGTAACTTCGACCCGCTTGACTGAATACACAACAAACAATGAAGAAAGAGTTTTATCTGGGCTGCTTCGCTGCCAGCTGCTCCCCCGGGACCCGAAAGTGGCGTATAGCCTGCACTTCAACATCAACGAAAGTGCTCGATATATGCTATATTGAACCAATAACACAAACTAACTGTATCACTATAACATGATGATGATGGTGATGAAGAATGCATCTAACGTTCCGCTGTTCATTATAATACAAAAACAGAGCATTAAACAAACCATCATGCTCTTACTTTGAAATCATGCGGAAATGTCGTCAACAGCGGGCCATCACGTGGTTTCCGAAAATAACCGAGTGACACGAGTAGATTTTAGCCGAGACCGGCGGAAAATATGTCTCAAAATTCCGTGTGTGTAAAAAGACGATCCGCGAACAGAGATTTGAGATCCGTGAACAGAGATTTGAGAACCGCAAGCGCATTTTTGGTCCACAAATACAAAATGGATTCACAAATGCCTGATCGAAAGGTGTAAATGTTAAAGAGATATTCACAGATCTTTTTTTTATTTGTGAACATATTTAGCGTATTTGCAGATCCGTTTTACACTTGCAAATGTATTTGTGAGTTTGCAAATCTTTTAAATGCATTTGTGGATGTTGTTTTACATTTACAAATCACATATTTACACACAAATTATTTTTATGTTCACACAAATAATTATGAGACATATCTATGCCCATATCCCCTTGTCACCTCACTCTCGCGTGTCAGCCGGGGGTGCGCGGAGAACTGCGCACAGCAGCTGAGGCCCTCTGGGCGGGGCCCCCTGCGCAAGGCGGGGCCCCATGCAGCCTGCGTGATTGGCCTGTAGGGAGGGGCGGCCCTGAGTGTAGCTGCACACATGCTGAGGCTTCATTTGCTGTAATGCACACTTGAACGGCAAGTATCATTTTTTGAATTCCACTCATCACTAACCAAATGTATTATGTAAGTAAACAAGAATGACTGAACAGATGTATTTATATTTCTGTATTATCCACTACAGGTATCTTTTGATAATAGAAGAAACAACAAATCAGACAGGTGAGACTCCGTCTATAGTCAATAATTATTATTAACAACGAGATGCAGGGTAAATAACTCTTCTCTTTCTTTTCAGAATGCTTTTTCTTGCTATCTTCGCTGTTATTGCAGCCTCTGCTATAGCTGACCGTAAGTTTCCATGAGTACATTATCCTTCATGAATCAAATTTATAAGGATAATTCATGTTCATAATATGTTTGTCTGTCTCCTTGTTGCAGCTGAGACTCAGAGCTATTCCTACTCCCCTCCTGCGGGGTCAGGGAGTGGCTCTCCGTTCAGTATAATTGGGGAGGGAAGAATCACAGCTGTACGAGTGTGGGAGTCGTCCTACATACGAGGGTAAATGTTATAGATCATTATTTTGGTAGGACTGAAGAGCATTTTTTAAATTAAAAATAATGTAACACTGGGTAAAAGACACCATCAGATGTTATAGTTTTGATCCACTGGTTGCAGGTATTTATTGCAATAATATGACCACTAAACATTTGAAGTTCACTTATGAATTTGTTCCTGTTTAATTTACCAGATCAAACCTGATAACATAAGGTACTTGTACTTTTGTAATTTAAAAATGTAGTATTTTCCCATTTATGTTGCATATATTGTACTGCATCAATAACTAGCAACCATTGCAGATTTAGTTCAATGTTACAAAAAATAAAACAATTTTATTAAAGGTTAGGCAACTCAGTAGAATGTAAAGTAATTCAAATAAGTCACACTTTTGCCAAGTGCCATATTGAAGTAATGCATCAATAACTAAAATACGATCAATGTTTATTTTATATTATATTTGTATGATTCTGAAATGGAACATGCTGCATAATGAGTTTTTTTACCTGTGCTACTTTAAGTATGTTTTGATGTCGATGCTTTCGTACTTTGAATGCAGGACTTTAAACTGAGCATTGTTACACTTCATTCATCAGCTTCCAGTTCCGCTACGGCTTCACCTGGTCTTCAGTTTCGGGTACGACATCCGGCCAGCTACAGGAGAGGGAATTGTCTGGCGGTGAAGCCATCATTCAGATTTCTGGGATGTACAGTCACTACGTGCAGTCAGTGGTGTTCGTAACTAGCAAGGGCCGCCATTTTGAAGCAGGCCAGCCCTCAGGCACTTCCTTCAACATGTATCCCAGCCACAAGGGTGCCGAGCTGGTCCTCATCAGTGGCACTACCCATGGAGGAATCACCTCCATCGCAGCAATCTGGGGTCGAGTTGATACATCTGCTACTCACACTGATCACTGAGAAGTAGAGCTTGCCTGAGGAGATGCTACCATTTAACCAACAACTTGGCCAAACCTATGTATGAAAATTATGGTTTATTTCAGAATGTAATTCGTCTGTTCTGCGGTGCAACATTTTAACATCACAAATCTGCACATTTGCACTTTTGCTTGCTGAAGTGCTGTTCTTTATTTAGCTGGAAACATATTTTATAGTTAAATCTTTGTTCTGATGAATGTATGGAATGAGAGAACTTGACTATTCCTACTTAAACACTTTCAAATTATTTCCAAACACATATGAGCAACAACACAAATTCACATTATGTTGCTACTTATGCTAATTAAACAGCTGACATGCTCATAGCTTCTTGATTTCTATATATGTATGAGCATATACAGTACGTGTAATGAAGAAAAATGATTTCACAAACTCCTGCACCATATAAAAGCTTGATGAAATGTAACTTTAATTGTTTTTCCGGCATAGCATTTGTACACATGATGCTCTTGTCATTTTTTGAAAAATGTACTAGTTGATAAAAAAAGAACTCTGTAGCCTACATGAAAGCTGCTGACATATTGTGTTTTTCAATACTCATAGATACACACACATAGAGAAACAAACTCTATAATAATAATGACCTATAGCGTAATATAACAATATTTTCATATCAATTGACCATCAACCATCAATAGACTATCACGGGATAATAATATGTCTGTTTAATTGTAAGGGCAAAGTTGGCTACAGCAGTGTCTGATACACTATAAGGCGACACGTGTAAGTTGTAAAGATAATGCTAATTTCTAACACCAGTCCTTGATAGGCATTTATGGTTCAGATGTTACAGTGTAAAATCTTAAAAGAAGCACACTTATCTTTACAGATGATCCATTTGATTTCTGAAAAAGCTATAGTAGCTAATGTTCACAACATTATAAAAGTTCGTTTTAGCATGACTGCTATCTAGCTACTTCATGTTTAATGACCAATATATATATATCTCTACTACCCCAGGCATTGTCACAACAGGGAGCAGGGCACCCAAGAACCACTAAACAGATTATTGCTCTTCAGCAAATATTAGCATGCTAACACGCTTAACAAAACTAGCATGGTAAACAATATACCTTCTGAACATTAGCATGTTAGCATTTAATTCCTAACATTTTAACATGCTGACGTTGGCATAAGATCAAAGCTCATGTAGCTCAAAGCACCACTGCTTCAAATTACAACTCATTGTGCTATTTAAAGCCGTTAGCAGTGAACAGTGACACAGAAAACATAATTTAAATCCTATTTAACTACAAACACTCGCTACTCCAAAGAGCTCCTGTTTTCTTTTTTATCATACTCCTTTTGTTTCCATCTTCTTCATCAAACACTGTCATGACACCTGTCACATAAATCCAAACCAGGGACCTTTATCCTCCTTCATCTGGCTCCAGCAGGGCTCTCTGTTATCCTGTCGGTCCCTCTGCAGGGGACGAGGGTTTCCTCTCAGCCTCCTGGCCAGCCCTCTCTGACCCCTGTATTAAGTTAGCTTTAATTTGTTGTCCTTCCATCTTTATTTATCAAGGCCAAGTTGCATAGTCAAACATTAACATACAGCCTCTTTTCGGAAGGAAGTATTAGTGGATTACATAGTAGTTTACTTTTCCTGGGCCAGAACCGATTTGTGTGGCTGGCCTCTTTGTCGAGGTCAACATTGTAGGAAGGCAAGAACCCTCTGCACTTGGATCAAAACTGTAGCCTATTATCATTCCTCAAGAGCCATATGTTGAGCTGTTACACATTTTAGTATGATTATTATGAATATCTGACTCTTATACACTGGGATGTTGATCATGAGGGAAGTCTTAAAACAGGTTTAATAATCCTAATTCTGGGAATTGAAAAGAAAAGTGGTTTAAAGGTCAAAGATGTATTCGGGTAACAGTAACACAGGGGAAAATCTGTTGTCTGGAGATGCAAAATGGATGAAAGAGAAAGATGAAAGGAATATGAAAAGGTTAGAAAAGTGTCAAAATAACTATACTTTCACGGGAAGACTAGGGGTAGAGGAATGTGAGAATTGGGTTAGGGATATTGCCAAATATCTGGAATGTAACTACCAGAAACCTGCAGATCCACTGCAGCTCTTGTTCCCCTGTAATTATGTTGTATGATGTCCTTTTTGTTTTCTGTTGTTTTTCTGTGTAACCAATGTGCTGCAGGTCTACCTTGAAAAAGATCGTTGATCTCAATGGGATTTTACCTGGTTAAATAAAGGCTACAAACAAACAAACAAACTCTTACTACTTTTGAATCCAGACTGAAGACTTTTATTTTTGCCGCTGCTTTTAATTGAACTATTCACATGCGTTATTCATGTTTTATCTTTTAATGTTTCTAATGTGTTTTATGCTCTTAATGTTTTTCATTTTCGTAAAGCACTTTGAATTGCCTTGTGTTGCAAAGTTTGCCTCGCCTCGCCTCAATCATGACAAAAACAGCATTCAATATGTGCCAAGTCCCCCCGACCATAACTCTGGAGCTAATGTCATAACTCCACAAACAAGATAAACAAGTTTTACAAGTGCCGTATGATTCACTAACAAACACAGTGTGCTTTGCTGGCCCGGTTCCAGAACAAAATGACTAAGGTTAGAGGGGGTGCACCAGTAGTAGGCTTACGTTAGCTCAGGGTTGACAACTTTGGGTACCTGGCTGGAGTGAGATTTTGATATCATGGGTTTAATTACACATATGCGCACGAAATGACTGCTATCGTGTCAGCAGCGGGACCATAGCATATATATAGGATATATATACAATATTTACAAATACACAAAATTGGACACAGACTATAAAGGACACACAGTTTAATTCACTAATGAAAGTCAAACACATGTTTGTTTCCACTGTTTTATTGTGTGCATAGGCCTGTCGCGATAAGCAATTAATTGACTTATCGTACGATAAATAAAAATGAACTCGATAAATTGCCATTTACATGAGGATGTGACTAGCAGTTTGAAAGGATGTACTTGAATTATTATTATATATTATCATTATGTCAGTGGTCTAAAATGGTCATACAACGGTGCCGACAATATTATCGGTTATCGCAATAATTTCCGGGAAAATGTATCCAACAAAATTAATTATCGTGAGAGGCCTATACATGAAACACACACACACAAAGAAATCTACAGACTTACTCCAAACTGCCAAACATATTAATTAACACACATACATATACTAACACATAACACATATACATATACTCTTTGACTCTAATTTGGCCTAGTAGAACAATAAGCAGCAGACTTTTACTTTTTTTCATTTCTACTGGATCTTTGATCTGCGCATGCGCAATACGGGTCGGCAGTTGCGAGAGAGTATTTGTGTTGGGTAATCTATGGTAGGGCTAACCAGTGGCGGCGCCAGAGATTAAGGGGGTGCTGTGGGGTAGCTTTACGTTTCATAGAGGGTGCTCAAACTTTACCAGCGCTACAGTTGAATTTTCTACTGCAACACTCCCCACACACACACACAGTGCACCCTCAACTGTTACAATGAAGGCTCGATAATCAGCTCACGGCATATACTGTAGGTGTAAGCAGGGCTAAAGTGCTATTTTTACAAGTGGTGAGTGGACCTCACGTCCTCTAAGAGGGACCTCACCTCCTCTAATGGGGTCCGGGGGCATGCTTCCCCGGGAAGGTTTTTTTACATATTGAAGTTAAAAGCATCAATCTGGTGCACTTTGAGAGCAACGTGAAGAGATCTATGGATACATCTCTCAACACCCAGATGAAACAGAACTGTAAACAGATTTTCTATTTCTTTATAGATATTTTACAACTCCCCTTTTAAAACAAACCGTTTGAGACCCACTGAGATAACTAGACAACTATCTAAACACTGAGAGCCCTTTACTTCACCTGAGCTGAAGTTATCTGAGACTCTCAGTCTGACAGGAGAGAGTTCTCCCTCCACCTTGTTGTTAAAAAAGCTCCTTATATCCGTTAGCTTGGCTAGCTAGCACCAGATGCTAACCACAACGATCTCCAGTAGATAGGCCTACCCACCGGTGCGTGAGCTCTCTCTTTCGCTCGCGCACGCACACAAAATGGCTCGTGCCACACACACACAGAGCAGAGCTTGAATGAAACACAGAGACCCAGAAGTAAGCTACTTGTACTCACGAGGCTATGCTATTATGTGCAGAATTCCTCTCGCTTTCAGGTGGTTTTGATTGAGTGTCCACACGTGGACGTTTAAGGACTAAAAAACGATCAATTTTTCACTTTGCTGTTAGCAAATAAGTTGGCGCTCTAGCTAACAGGAAGTCACTCAAGTGTCACAAAGTCATTTAGCCTATGGGTAGGTCAAAAATCGAATCGGTGCTGGCCATTGGCCTAATCATATCACCTGTGTTGGCTTTATGTTTTTGGTCAAAAATGTGTTTGTTTCACATTTGCATTGAAGTAATCAATAATATTTCTAATTTAATTTAATAAAAATTATTATTATTATGTTCGGAAAAAAAAAAAACACATTTCTTTGGGGTGCTTTGGCAACCCTGGGGGGTGCTTCAGCACCCCCTAACTCCCCCCTGGCGCCGCCCCTGGGGCTAACCCATACAGTGGTGGGGCTCAAGTCAGTTTTTGCAATGTAATTACATACACGCTCCCCTTGACAGTGAAACGCCACACGTGAGGTTTAGATTATTTCCCTGTCTCAATCCAAATTGAACTGTATGAAATAAAAAGGCACATTTGTCTTGTAGTAAATAAAAAGGGCGACCTGGAGCCAATCCTGCAATTTCCCCACAGGTGAAAGAGTTGACATGCTGAAAACCCAACCCCTGCAGGGGGGTCTGGGGGGATTCTCCCCCAGGAGATCTTTTGAAATACTAACATAAAATACACATTCTGGTACTCTCTTGAGAAGAAAAATAAATAAATCTATTACTACACGACACCGATGGACTGTCCACTCCAAGTAGGGAATGAGTCCTTACCCCAAGTGAAGGAGTTCAAGTATCTCGGGGTCTTGTTCTCGAGTGAGGGAACAATGGAGCGTGAGATGGGCCGGAGAATCGGAGCAGCGGGAGCGGTACTGCAGTCGCTTTACCGCACCGTTGTGACGAAAAGGGAGCTGAGCCAGAAGGCAAAGCTCTCGGTCTTCCGGGCCATTTTCATTCCTACCCTCACCTATGGTCATGAAGGATGGGTCATGACCGAAAGAACGAGATCGCGGATACAAGCGGCCGAGATGGGTTTTCTCCGCAGGGTGGCTGGTGTCTCCCTTAGGGATAAGGTGAGAAGTTCGGTCATCAGGGAGGGACTCGGAGTTGAGCCGCTCCTCCTTCGCGTCGAAAGGAGCCAGTTGAGGTGGTTCGGGCACCTAGTTAGGATGCCACCTGGGCGCCTCCCTAGGGAGGTGTTCCAGGCACGTCCAGCTGGGAAGAGACCAAGGGGTAGACCTAGGACCAGGTGGAGGGATTATATCTCTTCGCTGGCCTGGGAGCGCCTTGGGATCCCCCAGTCAGAGCTGGTTGATGTCGCCAGGGAAAAGAAAGTTTGGGGCTCTCTGCTGGAACTGCTACCCCCCGCGACCCGACCACGGATAAGCGGGAGAAGATGGATGGATGGATGGATGGACTACACGACAAAAAATGAATGCCATTTTAGTTTTGTGTTACTTTGTTCCGAAAGCTGAACCTGCTGCTCCTCACAGAGAGAAGAGGGAAGAGGCTGTGTGAATTACTTTACATTGTGGATAAGGGTGGATAGCCCCCATTGTTCTGTGTGTCAAAATGAAAGACAGCCCACACACCTATCAATCATCAAACCGTGGGGTCTTATTTCATTACGTGTTGATTTCTATCAACACGTAATGTTGTATCGATGTATATAGAGATGTAGGCCTACTACAGCAAAAGTATTCTCCGTCGGGACTTCCTGCAACAACACCATGCCGTTATCTTGATTCTGATTGGCCAGAAGACATTATCAAAGATGTTCTATTGAGAAGACGATCACTACGTGACAACAGTTTTCAAAACCATTTCTAGTCTTCGGTATTCTTGTTTTTGGCGTGAGAATAGTTTGGGCAGCGTGAGAGCGTGAGATTGAGAGTGAAAGCGTGTGTCACACGCCAGATGCGTGAGAGTTGGCAACCCTGGTGACTGGCTGTACATGATGTGGCCTGCCGACATGGCCACTTTCATGCAGATCATACTAATGCCCTTGATTGGTCTCTGTGTGTCATTCAAGCTCGGGAGGGTGTGTGTGTGTGGCGCGAGCGAGCGAGAAAGAAAGCGCGCGCACCGGTTACGTGTAGTGTTGTTGTTACCATCTGGTGCTAGCTAGCTGCGCTAACGGATATAATGAGCTGTCAACAAGGTGGGGGGAGAGTCCTCTCCAGTCAGACTGAGAGACTGATACAGCTCAGGTGAGGTAAAGGTCTCTCTGAGTGTTTAGATAGTTAACTTAGTCTAAGTTCTCTGTGGGTCTCAAACGGTTTGGTCACCATTTATGTAAACACATATTTCCATTTGAAGGGGGAGTGATTAGTAAAATATGCATGAATAATAATTTAAAAAAAAGTTAACTAGAAAAAAGGTAAGATAAACTATAAAAACTTGTTGAGAGCTAAAACTAGTCTTTGCTGCTGCCTCAAAGAGGAGCAGGGGGGAGAGGAGGGAGACAGGAGAGGCTGGTTCAGGAGCACAGACACACTCACAACTATAAATGAACCAAAAATAAATAAATAAACAAGTTTCAATGTTTTTTCATATTGGATATGGGATGTTATTGGTTACGGCCATGTTTTTATGATTTAATGATTATTTAAATGTATACAGTTCTGTTTCATATGGGTGTAGTCTCTTTATTTTCCCCTCAAAATGCACCAGATTGATGCATTTAAGTCCAACATTTAAAAAAAATAAAAATCTTAGCGGGGGAGCATGCCCCCGGACCCCCCTATAGGATTTCAGGTCCACCTCCACTTAAAATATGTTCACATGGATAGGTTCCTAAATAGATTTGCACAGCAACGCTGTATATATTGACAAATAAATCCAGGAAAATGGCACAAAAGAAAACTGTTATGGCGCGTTTCCACTGCAGCGGGTAGCCCCGTTTAAGCGTCCTTAACCGTCCTCAAGCGGCCAGGCCGGTTTTTGGTGGCGTTTCCATATAGCCTAGTACCGGCCAGCGGGTACTTTTTCCCTCTTTTTCCGGCCTCATAAAATCGTGGTTCCCTCAGACCAGGGCCAGGGCTGAACTAGTGACGTCAACACTCTCGACTGCTGATTGGTCAGAGAGAATCGTCACAAGATTGCTCGCGAGTTCATCCCTAGCGTCGCATATATATCTAGAAGCAAGCTTGCAGCATTTTTATACACAGCATTTTGTAAACGGAGGAGCTACAAAAATGGCTACTTCTAAGAAAAGCACACCGTGGTCGACCGAGGAGGTGACGACGTTCCTTCATCTCATTGGGGATGATAAAATCCAGCGGGAGCTCGACGGAACAACGAGAAATGTGAACAAAAACAAAGCTGATCGCCCCGCCTACACTGCGTTGCTAGCCCATGTCCTAAACTGTAATGGAAATGCGCCACGGCCTGGGCCGGCCAGCGAGGCAGCCCGAGGCCAGAGCGAGGACGCTTAGGGACGCTTAAACGGGGCTACCCCGCTGCAGTGGAAACGCGCCATTAGTGGCCTGGCTGGGTGTATAATTCCCGGCCTGACTTATTGTCCCAGTCCGGCCCTGGAGTAGCGTGACAGCCTGCAGTCCATGTCCACACGGTAGAGGATAATCCAAATGGTCCTTTGCCCCAGTAGCCACGATCAGATCCACTTTGTTTCTGCCGCAGCTCCAGTAGCCACGATCAGATCCACATCCGACAATTCCAGTGATAGTAAGTTCCTACACGCTAGTAATCCTCACGACGTTGTCGGTACGTTTTTGACTTAATGTAGTGGCCAATTGTCTAAAGAAAATTAATGCTCAAAGGCCACTTAGTCTAGGAGGCGAGCTCGAGTATTGACTCGCGTATATTCAAAAAATCAGATACCTTGCTTGTTCCATTCAGGTGCTTTATTGAGAGGTTCAATAGATCAGCTGGCGGCCCACTGCCGACGTGCAACATTTGCACGGTATTTAAACAAATAAACAAACAAGATCCCTCGGTCATACGGATGTATGCGGTCAAAAACTTTTTTCAACTGCCTCTCTAGACTTCCTGCTGTGTCATGCTGGCAGCGTCATTTATACCTGAGCACGCCCCTACTATTGCTTTGTATAAATAATAACAAAACATAAACTAGAGCTGTCCATAAGCAAGATGACACGTTACAAAAACAATATAATAATAATTCATAGTTATTCAGCTCATTTAAGTTAAATTAAGGAATATTCAATTGGATCACAAAACCATAATTCATTACCATAAAATAATGTGCCTAAATCAAATGGCTCTTACGCATGGGTCTGGGACTGCGGTCAACTCAGCCGTCTCTCGCATTTGCTTGGTCAAATGAGCAGCGCTTCAGTTTTGAGTGCGTGATTAATAGCGTCTTTACAGTAATCGCCGAGAAGTGGCGCTGACAGTAGTACCGGTGCTTATGCTATATTTAATCAATCAATGATATTTGATGAGGGATAACATAATTTTTAGCCATAAGTTCTTAATAAAATTGGTACTGTTGGACTCAGTACATGTTAGACTACTACCACAAATACAATCAAGTACTTTTACTGTGTACTATTTGAGTAATACTCTGTCAAACTCCCCTCCAGAGTGCAATAATGCATGTTTTCTGCCCTCTTTGATGAGAGATACAATCATTTTTTGCAATAAGTTATTAGTGAGATTGGTACTGTTGGATTCAGTACTACGTGGACTAGTAGCACAAGTACAATCAAGCACTTTTACTGTGTACTTTTTGAGTAATACTTGTTTAAACTCCTGTCCTGAGTACACAAAATAATGTATTCTGCTATCTTTGATGAGAGATAAAATGATCTTTTGCAATAAGTTATTAGTGAGATTGGTACTGTTGGATTCAGTACTACTTGGAATAGTAGCACAAGTACAATCAAGTACTTTTACTGTTTACTTTTTGAGTAATCCCCTGTCAAACTCCCCTTCAGAGTACAATAATGCATGTTTTCTGCCATCTTTGATGAGAGATAAAATGATTTTGTGCAATAAGTTCTTCATGTAATTGGTACTGTTGGATTCAGTACTACTTGGACTACTACCAAAAGTACAATCAAGTACTGTGTACCTGTTGAGTAATCCTTTGTCAAACTCTGCCCCTGAGTACAATAATGCATGTTTTCTGCCATCTTTGATGAGAGATAAAATGATTGAACTCCCTTCCAGAATACAATAATGTATTCTTTTTTTACCACGTCAAATTCCTCGTACGTGTAAACCTACCTGGTAATAAACATGTTTCTGATTCTGATATATAATAAGCGTTAGAAAAATGTTCTTCACAATACTGACTATGTTGGACAGAGTATTTTAACAGGATATGGTAAACACATGATATGAACACTAGATCCACTAGATCAGTACTCCAGCAACAGCATTGTTACACTTTGGAAAGTCTTTAGAGACTGGCCTGGATAGCTGTTCACAACTTTCCTTCAGCACAGTGACACACCCTTGTCACTCTTGTTGGCCTCTTATGACGCTGCATGTCTTTTAATATATGTATAATATATTATTTCTCTGCCCCTAGTTCTTTCCTTGCAGATTCTTCAGTCTCATCAGCCTCATCAATCCATCAGTCCCAGTCAACGTCTTCAGCCTCCAGCACACTTTCCCTGTACAAGGCTCATTCCCCATGATCACAACACCTTATATTATCCTGTCTTTCACAAAATGTAAAGTCCTTCTACTGCACCTTTTGAAGACTCCAAAACAGGCATTTGTACTGTATGTGTTTGGAGAAATTATACAACAAATGGCCCAGATTTGTACTATAGAAAATCGAAATCTTGTAATGTAGGAAACAATTCACACTGGCTGCCATGTGATATAGGCTTTGTTTTGCAATATTTATTCAACGGTCACTTCTTAGTTAAACAAATCTCAAATATATATTCTAAATATATCAAATTGAGCATATAAATATAAACTATTTCACAGCAACCACATCCCCTGCTTTTTGGAAAAGTCTGGAGTCCCAGTCCCTAGCTGGTGCCTTTTTTGTTGTTAATATAGGACATACAGCAACCGCATGTTCATGCACAAACATTATTTGTCACACAGAGAGCAAACCCAGTCCCCAACTTGTGCCTCTTCAAGAGACTTTTGGTCCATATGCAGGCACTGTGTGTGGCACCACCGGAAACAGCTGTCACACTGAATCTGCAATAGAAGGAGTGGAGACAAATGAGAGTAAAGCCCTGCTTATAACAGCTTTGAGCAATGGTCAACTGCATCCCTCAAGTGTTTGTATTTAGTTTCTGCTTTCATTTAATGCTTTTCTACAAATCTAAATTGTGAAATATCTGAAGTCTCAATATTCATTAAACCTTACCCAGTCAGTGTGGGTGTGATGTGGCACTGAGCCGGGTGGTTTTATGCCGGCGCACATGGCACAGTTGACTTCTTTGTCAAACACTGATGAAAAAAAAATGCTAATGTTACATCTCAAGTACAACAATATCACAATTGAATTGATATTTTGAAAAAGTAGCATGCACCTGATGCTGTCAGTATTTCCATGGCCAACACTTTTCTTTAACATCTCCTTTTTTGTGGTCCCAAAGGCCATTGTTGGTGTTTTAGGAAAGACTTCCATGACCTCCTTTGCCATCTTAAAGTGATACACCATGTTATGTTCTTAAAATAACTATCCAACTACCCCAAATGTGTTTTTGTGAAAGGCAGTAAAACAGACTTAATCCTAAAAGCTGAATGAATGTTATATTAGCAAAAAGCATATATGAAAATAAATATTCCACTTACCATGCAGACAACTACCCCACAGCTATTGCCATCCTGCTGTACTGGGTGTTTCATTACTCCTCTCTTCCATTTTATGTCTACCCAGTCTGTCTTACTGCAGCAGGTCCTCCTCATTTTGAAGTAATCACTGCGTGAGATAAGATATATTATTAATGTACAATGCATACTGTATAAATACAATACTCGCATAATAACATAAATCCTTGTCACACTGTGTCTCAGCAGTCGAGTAACACAATTTGAAGTGATGTTAATGCATGTTTCCCAAATGTATATTTTAAGATGTAACATGCAGACACCTAGTCTGATGTCAAAATGAATTGACAATTGTTCACTCTAAGGTCTCAGTGCTGCGTTTGACACTGTTGACCATAACATATTACTAGACCGACTGGAAAACTGGGTGGGACTTTCGGAAACAGTTCTAAATTGGTTTGAATCCTACTTAAAGGACAGAAACAACTTTGTTTCTATAGGTAAATACACATCTGAGTTGACAAATATGACATGTGGGGTTCCTCAAGGCTCCATCTTGGGGCCGCTTCTCTTTAACATCTACATGCTTCCACTGGCTCAGATAATGAAAAACAACAAAATAAGTTACCATAGCCAGGGCTGCACATAACTGGTGCGCAGGTGCGCATGCGCACCTCCGCCAAAAAAAGAGCACCGGGTCATTTGAAACAAAGCGCATTTGCGTACCAACATTGAGAGAGGGAGAGAGAGAAGGGAGAAGAGAAAAGAGAAAATAGAGGAGAGAGGAGAGATGAGAGAGAGAGAAGAGAGAGAGAGAGAAAGATATTTGCGAGTTGCATACATGTATGAACCATGATATGAACTCAGGGTCGGCTCGTAGCACTGGCTAGATGTTCGCCTAGGGCGCCAGATCTGTGGAGGCGCTGCGCTGGCAGTTCTGGGAGGGAAAAATCATTTTGACCGTTGGGGCTCATCCTAATTTTCGGCCTTGATGTAGCAATATTCATAATTAAGTAAATGTAACACCCTTTTCACCCCGGTTACACGTTTCATTTGCCCTGTACAATGGGCGCTGTAAGTGATGAAAATGGGGGATGTTGGCTTATCTGGCGCCCGCAGCTCACAGCCAAAATGCGAGTGAGCGAGGGAGGGTGCACCGGTACCAGCGCTGTTGTTATTAGAATCTGGTGCTGTGCTAGCTGCTCTAACGGATATAAGAAGAAGATGTTTCTACAATAATGTGGAGGGAGAGTCCTCTCCAGACTGATAACTACAGCTCAGTGAGGTAAAGGACTCTTGAGTGTTTAGATAGTTCACTTTAGTCTAAGTTCAAACGGTTTGGTCGCAATTTATGTAAACACATATTTCCAAGGCACTCCTTAATAATTATTGGGAAAAACAGGTTTTAAATAATTCCAATGTATACTATAGGACAGTAACCAAAAATATCCTTTAAAACTGGAGAGATAAAAAAAAATGCATAAATAAATGTTAAGGTAAAATAAGATATGAATGAACAACACAAATAAAATAAGTTACATTCATTTGTTATTGGCTATGGTAGGTTATTGGTTATGTTCACATACTTATTTGATTACATCCACTTGTCTAAGATGACAACAGAGACTTTCGACCCAAAACCAGCTGTTGACTTGTGGATGCAAGCATCTAATCGCAGACTCAACCAGAGAGAAAGTAGTAGGCCGACATCATCAGCTACCATGTCTGACAGAGAGGAAGACAGTGAGGAGAACAGTCAGGAGGGTAGTGATGACAGCTTGTAGGATTACTGCTTGTGCTAATGTTGTCTTGTGTTCACCTCTGCATGTGTGTTCTGTGTTCACCTCTGCATGTGTGTTCAGTGCCGTGTGTCTGGCAAATAAAGTCAAGACCCCCTCAAAAGTTACGGTTTATTTCATTTTAAGGATGAGCACCAAGCAACATCTCCAGGTGCTCCTTTGAGAACCAGGGCAAAACAGTTATGTGCACCCCTGACCATAGCTATGCAGATGACACACAAATTTACGTAACAATTTCACCAGGAGACTATGCTCCAATTCAAACACTGAGTAAGTGCATTGAACAAATCAATGACTGGATGTGTCAGAACTTTCTCCAATTAAACAAAGATAAAACTGAGGTAATGGTTTTTGGAGCCAAGTCAGAACGTATAAAGGTTAGCGCTGAGCTTCAGTCTGCAATGTTCAAAACAACAGATAAAGCCAGAAATCTAGGTGTAGTCATGGACTCTGACCTGAGTTTCAACAGTCACATTAAAACAGTTACTAAATCAGCCTACTATCACCTAAATAATATATCTAGGATTAAAAGACTAATGTCACAGCAGGTTTCGGAAAAACTTGTCCATGCTTTTATCTTCAGTAGACTCGACTACTGCAATGGTGTCTTCACGGGTCTCACTAAAAAATCTATTAGGAAGCTGCAGCTGATTCAGAACGCTGCTGCTCGAGTCCTCACTAACTCTAAGAAAGTGGATCACATCACTCCTGTTCTGAAGTCTTTACACTGGCTTCCTGTGTGTCAAAGAATAGATTTCAAAATACTGCTGCTGGTTTATAAAGCACTGAATGGTTTAGGCCCAAAATACATTTCTGACCTCCTGCTAAATTATGAACCATCCAGATCTCTCAGGTCTTCAGGGACTGGTCAGCTTTCTGTCCCCAGAGTCAGAACTAAACATGGTAAAGCAGCGTTCAGTTATTATGCTCCAAATATCTGGAACAAACTCCCAGAAACCTGCAGGTCCGCTGTAACTCTGACTACTTTTAAATCCAGGCTGAAAACTTTTCTTTTTGTCGCTGCTTTTAATTGAACTATTCATATCTTAGACTGCACTGTAACTTTTATCCATGTACTTTTTATTTTAATGTTTAATTGAACTATTCATATCTTAGACTGCACTGAAACTTTTATCCATGTATTTTTTCTTTTAATGTTTATTTTATTAGCTTTTCTTTTTAATGACTGATTTTAAATGCCTTTTTCTTAATGTCTTTCATTTTTTGTAAAGCACTTTGAATTGCCTTGTGTTGAAAAGTGCTATATAAATAAACTTGCCTTGCCTTGCCTAAGGACAGGTTGTTTATTCAGTGGATTGGGTGTTTATGGTATAATCGGTATGGACCAAAGTCAAACATGCACACATTTTTCACACATTATATGTTCTGGTGTAGTAGTACATCAATTAAAAAAAAAAGGGCTGGTTGTGGCAATATAGCTGATCCATCTATTCCCACATAAATATAACAATAAATATAAACATTATATATGAGGGAATAGAATGAAATAAATATTTTTGAAAAATAGGTGAAATTGGATGCAGTTAGTACCTGCATTTGTTGGCAGCATTGTCTGACTCTGCCTGCTCTGCAGAGTTGCGTGCAGGATCTGCCAAATACACTGTGCTTTCTTCAGCATTGATGTACTGTGGACACAGAAAAAGAAATATATATATTTGAAATAAATACAACACCCCCAAAACGTAGCTGATCAAGAAATATACTATTATATGATATAGACACTACTAACCAGACATTTCCAGTGTACACCATCAACATGTACAAAGGACACAATGGCTCCATAGCTGTCAAAGTGTATCCGTAATACATACGAACAAAACAACTTCCATTTCCCATCAGGCTGTATTTGTTTTCTTTATACAGTAGAGTCAAATAGCTTGATAGAGTATGTTTATATTTAGACAAAGACATAATGAAAACCTTTGTAGTTATCCTCAATAGAAACACAAGTTACCTTTGACAAAGTGTGCTTCCTGACCTCTTCTCTTTTCCCAAAGAGGATCACACCAGCTGAGTAATGGTTGAGAATATAAATCCTCGTCCCCAGTTCACATTTATGTGCATGTATATGGAAAAGACACTCGATGATCTGGAGAGAATGTCGACAAGCAGACATTAATAAGAAATACAATTATATTAAATAATAATGTAGTTGACAGGTGTTAAGTTTCGTTGATAAAAACAGAAAATTATAACAGTGAATGACCACATTTGACTACTTCTTCTAGTGTACAATACAAGTTAAATATTCAACTGTGGATCCCTTTTAAGATTCACTTTTTAAAACAGTTTAATACATTTTAGGCTTTGGGTGCTAACAAGACTTCAGTGGTGTGCCATGAAGCTAGCGTTACATGAATATTGGATTAATGTGTAGTGAAGAGACTTGGTATGAGCACTGGTTCTGTCCTATGATATGGATGAAATACCTCGCCTGTAAGCCACTGGTGTGGTCTAAGGGTCCGCATGTCAGAGTGACGGATGGTAAAACTGTTGCCTCTTATTTGAGTGGGGACTACAGACACCACCACGTCAGTGTCCTTTTTTTTCCACAACGCGGTCAGCTGGGGGTCACAAAAAAAATACTATATAATTTGTATGTCCCAAAGCTAGATTGTTAACAGAGCATGAGATACACATTGTAAATTGAAAGGTATTATTTTATAACGTTCCTTTAGTATTCCTTAAACATTAAAATCTGCATTTTAACTTTTTAGTTAATCAATTATTTTACTATTTTTATCTGGTCCCTCTGATGAACTCCCTGATGATGTGTCCTTACAGTTTCTTACCTCTGATGAAGCATCCACTTTACCTCCCTGTGCATCATCCTCAGCATGCTCCGTCATGTCTGATGTGGATGAAGATTGACCTTGTCTTGCCTTGTCTTTTGGATCCTGTATAGAAGCCGAAACATCAACATTGCCTTTCACATTGTCCAATATGTGTTGTTAAGTGCATGTCATAGTTAATCACTTCATCACACAATTTGAATCTTCAGTTCTTCTATCATTACCTACAGTATACTAATAGAAAATGCAACATTAAGCTTTAGATTCCAAGCTGGTTTAGATGTATGTGTTTCAAATGCTTCCTGGCTTTGTTTAACCATGCTAAATGGGATTATCTGTGATGGAATATGTGCTTCCGTTTCACCTGGCGCTTGTTTTTGTAGTGGAGCTGGAGCTTTTGCTGTTTTTGTCTTCTGCATGAGCTGATAAAAAACAAAGTGTTAATAACACAAATATTATAACATTTATGTTATTTTCAACAAACAGGATAACAATGGTTTGCTCTCAAAAAATACATACATTCTTCTTGTGCTGTCTGAAAACAAAAGGCTTGTTTATGGGTGTCACATAAACTCCTCGCCTGTTCTGCTTTCTTTTTTTCCATCGCTCCATGTCCACACGATGGGTCTGCAGTTAATAAGGAATATTGACAGGGTAAATGCACTCATAAATTACCTTTCATTACATATTCTGCCATTTCACGTTATTCAATGTTGTTTTCTTTTCACAACAAACATTATCTTTGCCTGAAATAAATGTATTATTTCATTAATTATTATTCATCAAAATTATGAAACCAACTACATTCAGCATAGTTGCATCACAGTTTTGATTGGTGTATCAATATTATTGTGATATTATTAGCACACCTAATATAACTGTTAATAATGACCAAATTACCTGCAGAATAACTGTTGAGAAAATACTGAATGTACTCTTTGAATATCAGAGTAGCACATGATGACAAAGACCCTAAGTAGCTGTGTACATGACAGGATGTGTGAAGAAGAGAATCAGGACTGTTTGAGGCATATGATAGCTATGTGATTAACATGATGATTCAGCCTCTATGGAGATAGACATATGACAAGCATGATCATTTCTGTCGTGAGCCTTAGCTAATCTGAACTAAACATTGTATACTGCTTTGAACCGGTATTCCTCCATCTTGTGACGGTGTAAAAAGTCTGTCTACAAGTCTCTTATATATAAAGCTTGTGAAGGACACTGCTCTGTGAACTATTTGTACCAAATGCTCTGGACGTGATGAATACTTCCATTCTTGCAAGGATAATAAATACATGTATCCTGATTATTGAAACTCAAGCCAGTGGCGAGTGATATTTTCCTAACATAATCGATAGCAATGCTTAATGACTAGGGACAAATGTGATAACATAACAGCAATATATAAATAACAAACTGTACCTTCTTCCCCCTCCTCAGAGAGTCGCCATATTCCCTTAGCAGGGCGCTCAAGGTGACTTTGTATGTATGTACAAAATCGTCCAGCCTGGTCAGACGTCTCCGTTGAAAACGGATCTTTTTGAGGTCCCACTTGCTTTTTTCCATTATCCCTTGAGTTTTGTTGTCCTCTGTGTAATTCTGCGGTTGAACATATTAGTTACGGTACATCAAATTATATTGTTAACAATCACTTGGATTACATACTGTTTACATTGCAGTTTATAATATTGATTATAGAATAATGCATTGAAATTCAATATTACATCAAAGCTTTAGGTTTTTGTACCTGTGTGGGTTTTTTTTGCAGCATTTTTGTACTTCTGGGAACATTTCTGATAAATGGTCCCTGTTCCATGGCGTCCAAGGTCACCTAACCAAACAGTAAACATGCCTTATTATTTTATATTACATTACATTAACAAGCAGCTATAGAAAGACGTGCAAAATAAAACTTACCCAAGAGTAGGCCAGACCACAGACCAGCCAGGGGCAGAAAGTACTTAAGCAAGGAAGGGATGAAAGTCGGGCAGAAGTACATGTTGTCATCACCAGATTTCTCAATAACTGTTTGGGTTATTAAGTCCTCAAAATGCTGTTTGAAGGGCGTAGGTCCGATATCATTCTAGAAAAAACAATCCACAAATAACTTTAGTTGCATTGCATTGAGCTTGGGGTAATATAAAAATATGTAAACCATGTTAATATTTTTCATTGTTTCTGGTCACACTGCCTCTGTCCTCTTTTCTGTGCTGTGTTGTACTTGAAGTTAAACAAATCATTTGTAATGATATTTTTGAGCTATGAAACAACTTCCAACATTCACATAATTATTACATACCACACAGTCTTCCACAATGGTTGAATCGTCCAAGTTTGACTGCGCTGAATTTGTCAGTAGTCCTTGGAGATTTTCAAAATGTTTTCCAACATTTCTGTCACTGTGGGAGCTGGAGAATACCACCACAGCACTGGTGACAACTTCATCCAGCTCGGACATTGTGGTGGCATTTATTAGGCAAGGCAAGGCAAGGCAAGGCAAGGCAAGTTTATATAGCACTTTTCAACACAAGGCAATTCAAAGTGCTTTACAAAAAATGAAAGACATTAAGAAAATGGCATTTAAAATCAGTCATTAAAAAGAAAAGCTAATAAAATAAACATTAAAAGAAAAAATACATGGATAAAAGTTACAGTGCAGTTTAAGATGTGAATAGTTCAATTAAAAGCAGCGTAGTAGTTTTGGTAGTAGTCCAAGTAGTACTGAATCCAACAGTACCAATTACATTAAGAACTTATTGCACAAAATCATTTTATCTCTCATCAAAGATGGCAGAAAACATGCATTATTGTACTCAGGGGTGGAGTTTGACAAAGGATTACTCAAAAAGTGCACAGTAAAAGTACTTGATTGTACTTGTGCTTCTAGTCCAAGTAGTACTGAATCCAACAGTACCAATTTCATTAAGAACTTATTGCACAAAATCATTTTATCTCTCATCAAAGATGGCAGAAAACCTGCATTATTGTACTCAGGGGTGGAGTTTGACAAAGGATTACTCAAAAAGGTACACAGTAAAAGTACTTGATTGTAATTTTGGTAGTAGTCCAAGTAGTACTGAATCCAACAGTACCAATTACATTAAGAACGTATTGCACAAAATCATTTTATCTCTCATCAGAGATGGCAGAAAACATGCATTATTGTACTCAGGGGTGGAGTTTGACAAAGGATTACTCAAAAAGTACACAGTAAAAGTACTTGATTGTACTTGTGCTTCTAGTCCAAGTAGTACTGAGTTCAACAGTATCAATTTCACTAAGAACTTATTGCAAAAAATCCTTTTATCTCATCAAAGAGGGCAGAAAACATGCATTATTGTACTCAGGGGTGGAGTTTGACAAAGGATTACTCAAAAGGTACACAGTAATAGTACTTGATTGTACTTTTGGTAGTAGTCCAAGTAACACTGAATCCAACAGTTCCAATTACATTAAGAACTTATTGCACAAAATCATTTTATCTCTCATCAAAGATGGCAGAAAACATGCATTATTGTACTCAGGGGTGGAGTTTGACAAAGGATTACTCAAAAAGTACACAGTAAAAGTACTTGATTGTACTTTTGGTAGTAGTCCAAGTAACACTGAATCCAACAGTTCCAATTACATTAAGAACTTATTGCACAAAATCATTTTATCTCTCATCAAAGATGGCAGAAAACATGCATTATTGTACTCAGGGGTGGAGTTTGACAAAGGATTACTCAAAAGGTACACAGTAAAAGTCCTTGATTGTACTTTTGGTAGTAGTCCAAGTAGTACTGAATCCAACAGTACCAATTACCTTAAGAACTTATTGCACAAAATCATTTTATCTCTCATCAAAGAGGGCAGAAAACATGCATTATTGTACTCAGGGGTGGAGTTTGACAAAGGATTACTCAAAAGGTACACAGTAAAAGTACTTGATTGTACTTTTGGTAGTAGTCCAAGTAGTACTGAGTTCAACAGTATCAATTTCACTAAGAACTTATTGCAAAAAATCCTTTTATCTCTCATCAAAGAGGGCAGAAAACATGCATTATTGTACTCTGGAGGGGAGTTTGACAGGGGATTACTCAAAAGTACACAGTAAAAGTACTTGATTGTACTTGTGGTAGTAGTCTAACAAGTAGTGAGTCCAACAGTATCACTTTTATTAAGGATGTATCGCTAAAAATCATTTTATCTCATCAAATATAGCAGAAGTTGCATGATTTTGTTCTCAGGAGGGGAATTTGCGAGTATTACCCAGAAAAAAGACAGTAAAAGTACTTCATTTTATTGTACTGAGTCAAACAGTGTTTTTTTTTTTAAGAACTCATGGTAAAAATCATTTGTATCGCATGAAGCAGAAAAAACATGCATTCTTTTACTCTTGCGTTAGTGCCGCTTCTCAGCGATTACCGTAAAGGCGCTATAAATCGCGCACTCAAAAAATGAAGAACTGCTCATTTGACCAAGCAAATTTGAGAGACGGCTGAGTTGACCGCAGTGGTCTGGGTAGAGTTCTTCAGAAGTGACGTGGCAACTCTACCGTGCAGTCAGATCGTGGCTGCTGTGACTTGTGATGTGAATTCTCCGGCCGAAGCTCCAAATAAACCATCAGTCGGTGACTCCCACTGCATTGCTACACAGAAGTTTCCCTTACAATGATCCAAAACAAGAGCATACTTGGCACACATAGCCGCGGGAAGTAGGGGTGCTGGGGGTGCTGCAGCACCCCCTGTTGGCGAGTGGTGTACATTTGAAAAACTGAGTGACCACCTAAATAAAAATGATTAAACTACATAAAATAGTTATGATTTTACTTAAAATAAAATTAGCTGTATACAGTAGCATATAATAGTCATAGTATATATTTGTATATATCAGGTGGCTTGAATTTATTTTCCAAATAAATAAAATCCGAGTCATCTAGGTCATAGGTCGTGGGAGAGTGACGTAATTGACGCGACACACACACTGCAGAGTGACAACTTTATAGAATGGCGCAAAAAAGGATTTTGGATTTTTTTCTCCAACAAACAACCCAATAAAAAGAGTGGACCACCAGCTACTCCTCAGCCCACCACCTCTACAACTAGAGTAATATGACACAGAAGAGACTGACACATCTGACTTTAATGCATGTCCATAGTAACATTTTGGACAATGTGGATGTATCTGCTCTAATGAGGGTCTTCATTAGTGCCACCCCAGGCTACATTTGGAGTTTTGTGAAGCCCCAACACAAGGTAAGACGATATTTTTCCTTTAATGCTGCTGCCGCTGTGCAGTGTTTTGCCTTGTCAATCAGTTAAAATTGAATTCATAGTTTTATTAATATTGTAAATAATATTTTCTGACTATTTGTAATGTTATGTAGGTTTGTAAGACCCATAGTTAGCATGTGGGCATGTGCAGCTGTTGCTAAGGTCTATAATGGTTTATTAAAGTTAAGGCGAGACACCCCAGGTGAATAGGGTAATTTCTCCAGTTAATTACCTACAATAAGGCAATAGTTTCTTATATTATAAGTTTTCTGAATATGCAAATGAGTCATTATCTCATTAAATTTGCGCATATTTTAACACATTTGAGGAACCGAAATCTGAACTTTGGATAAAGCCAGGTTCAAAATTATCGTTTCATTTTGTAGTCATATTAGCATCTAAGGTTTTCACAGAAGGGATTTTGGATATCTCTTTTTATCACTCCATAAATCAGAAAATACTGTCAACAGCCCTAAAATATCAATTTTCGCCATGTTTCTAGGTATAACATCTTATATAATTCAGGCTATGAATGATCTATGAACAAACCCTTCTGTAAAAGCCTTCATAATATTGATAGGAATATAACTGGAAGTTTTGGTGTCTCTACGTGCAACTGAAGTGGACATTTCGAACTCAGAGTAGGAGAAAAAACTCATTTTGAGAAAAGGACCTTTAAAGATTGCAGTGAGGCGCTAGCTAAACCCTCCTGTTCTTTGGATGACAGCTTGCTTATCGAAGCACTCCGTGAAGGTATTTCATGTTCGGGGTCATTTGTGTTTTGTATAACCTTGCTTCGTGCAAGTGACAATTGTTGTCGTCTTCTCTGTGAACGTTTTTTTTCGCCGTTCCTTTGCCATTTTGAGATTTACATTTCTAGCGGAAAGCTAACCAGGAAGTGTTTTAGCACATCACGTGACGCATCTGAACGAATCACGTTGTCAGAAGTTGACACCAGCCAATGAGATTTCGTTTCTTGGTTTAAGACCCTTTTGTACTTTCACGATTGGTTGCTGATACAAAGGAAATGACCATATTTGGATCTGATGAGATTGTGCAGGAGAGACTCAGCTTTCCAACGATGACATGGTGCAAACAGCGGTCGCGGGTACTTTATGTTACGTTAGAATGCTAACTTTTGGTGAATTTAGGAGAAATATACAGACGCAAATAGACCAACTATAGTAAAATGAACACTTAAATGTGTATTTTGTACGTTTTACTTCCAAAAGCCTGAAAGAAAACATGTTATGGAATCAAAATAGTACAACATCTCAAAATTGACCAGTGCATGAAAAACGATGTTTTTGCCTGCCGTGTCTCGCCTTTAACAAACAATGTATGCGGCTCGTATCGCTGACAGCTGGGCCCGGCTGGGCCTTTTTTTTTTAAGCCTCTCCCTCCTCACTTTTGGCAGCACCCCCTGAGCAAAATGACTTCCCGCGGCTATGTTGGCACATATCATATTTACACCTAGATTATGAAGATGTTGACTGGAAGGAATTACTTGACGAACCGCCAACAAAAATACCCACGCACCTCCCTCCCTGTCTGATACGTCATAACTCGGCAAGGACCAATAAACTGTTCAGGATTTGTTTCTGAATGCAGTTGCACTATAAATGATCGTATCCACTCCAAATGTAGATATTAGGAGAGTAGCTGCACACATGCTGAGGCTTCATTTGCTGTAATGCACACTTGAACTGCAAGTATCATTTTTTGAATTCCACTCATCACTAACCAAATGTATTATGTAAGTAAACAAGAATGACTGAACAGATGTATTTATATTTCTGTATTATCCACTACAGGTATCTTTTGATAATAGAAGAAACAACAAATCAGACAGGTGAGACTCCGTCTATAGTCAATAATAATTATTAACAACGAGATGCAGGGTAAATAACTCTTCTCTTTCTTTTCAGAATGCTTTTTCTTGCTATCTTCGCTGTTATTGCAGCCTCTGCTATAGCTTACCGTAAGTTTCCATGAGTACATTATCCTTCATGAATCAAATTTTATAAGGATAATTCATGTTCATAATATGTTTGTCTGTCTCCTTGTCGCAGCTGAGACTCAGAGCTATTCCTACTCCCCTCCTGCGGGGTCAGGGAGTGGCTCTCGGTTCAGTATAATTGGGGAGGGAAGAATCACAGCTGTACGAGTGTGGGAGTCGTCCTACATACAGGGTA